GCTCATTTTAAACTTTTTTTTTCCTGTTTTAGGATTTACTTGGCTGAGTAATCGTGTTTGCAGAGTTCTGACAGCGTTGCTTCCGACGTTGCTTGTCAACGTCACTGTGGAGGTATGGAGTTTGGAAACAGCAGCTCTGCCATTCTGCTGGTGTTGCTGCCTTACATACTGCAACACTGTGCTCTTCGGACAAAAAAAGTAAAGTTTTAATAACTTTTTTTTAATTCACTTGAAAGGGAGGGTGACAGGACAACAGAGACAGAAATAGAGAACAGAAGAGACAGAGAGAGAAGGAGAGACAGACCAGGGCGAACACTGTGGCATAGCGAGTAAAGTTACCACCTGCAGTGCCGGCATCCCATATGGGCTCTGGTTCGAGTCCCAGCTGCTCCACTTCTAATCCAGATCCCATCTTATGGCCTGGGAAAAGCAGCAGAAGATGGTACAAGTGTTTGGGCCCCTGTACCCACATGGGAGACCTAGATCTGGCTCCTGGCTCCTGGCTTTGGTCTAGCCTAGTGCTATCCATTGCAGCCATCTGGGGAGTGAGGCAGCAGATGGAGGACCCCTCTCTCTCTCCCTTGTCTCTCCCTCTCTCTAACTCTGACTTTCAAAATAAATAAATTTTTACAAAAAAGAAACTGACAGAGAGAGATGGAGAGAGACAAATGAACAGAAAGACTGATGAACAAGAGAGAGAAGACAGAGAGAGAGGCAGAAATGCACACACACACAGAGAGAGAGAGAGAGAGACCAAGACAGAGGCTAAGAGAAAGATGGACAAACCAAGTAAGAGAGATACACACAGAGCAGAGAAAGATGTAGATGAACAAAAATATAGAGAGACAGATGGACAGAGATATAGACAGAGAAACAGAAAGACACAGAGAGGAAGATACAGAGGAAGATGGAGATATACACAGAAGGATATATATATATATATATGCAGAGAAATCGACAGCGAAAGAGACAAATGGACTGAGAGATAAACAGAGAAGACAGACAAATTCAGTGAGACAGCAAGAGACATATGGACAGAGAGATTGAAAGGGACACAGACATGCAGAGAAGACACAGATACACAGAGAGAGTAGGACAGATAGAGCAACAGACACAGATGGACAAGGAGATCGAGTGAGACAGACATGGAGAGACAGAAAAAAGGGAGAGCCTGGTGGGAATATAGGGAGACAGTCACAGATTGAGACAAAGTAAGAGGGAGTCAGGCAAAAAAGAAACAGTTGGCCTGACAGCCAGAGAGAGAACATGACACCAAGAGACAGTGAAAGTGACAGAGATAGGCAGAGACACTGAGAGGTAGAAAGAGTAACAGATAAAGATATAGCAAGAGGGACAAACTAGGAGACAGGCAGAGAGACGTGGGCAGAGAGATAGGGAGAGAGACAGACGGAATGACAGGTATGTAGAGAAACAGGCAGAGACGGACAGTTACAGGCAGAGTGACAGAAAAAGAGACTGATAGAGACAGAGGCAGAAAGACAGATCAAGAGAGACAGACATGCAGAAAGAAAAACAGACAGAAAAAGACAGAAAATAGGTGACAGACACAGAGAGACAAACAGAAAGAGAGAGGGATAGAGATAGACTAACAGAGGCAAACAGCCACGCAAAGGGAGAGAGGCAGGCGGAGGGAGAGATGGATAGAATGACGGATGGAAAGACAAATAGCAAGGGAGACAGTGAGTGGCAAGCAGGTGGACAGAGACACAAAGAGACAGATAGAGGAAATACAGACTGAGAGACACACATCCAGAGATAGTGAGACAGGCAGACAGAGACAGGCAGAGTGACAGAGCCAGAGAGAGGCAGTCACAGGGACAGAGTGAGAGCAAAACAGATGGAGAGTGACAGACACACTGACAGAAACACTGAAAGACAGCGAGACAGAGACACAGAGAGTGACAGACCAACAGAGAGACAAATAGAATGAAAGAGACTGTAGACACAGCCATAGTAAGACAGTGATAGATGGCGAGAGAGAGAGAGTAATAGAGACAGATATAGTGAGAAACAGATACTCAGAGGGAGACATTGAGAGACAAACACATAGACAAGTGGAGAGAGACAGGGAAAGGGATAGGCAGCGTGACTGACAGATGGAGAGACTGATTCACGTTGAGGCAGGCAGACACAGAAACAGAGAGACAGGCAAACTGAGAGATGAACAGAGGGACAGATCCAGATAGAGATGGACAGGCAGGGAGAAAGACAGATACACACATAGTCCGAGACAGAGACATGGACAGAGAACAAGAAAGACCGATGGAAAAAGACAGATCGAGAGTGACTGGATAAGACAGACTGACAGGCAGAAGGACGGACTGTGAGACAGGCAGACAGATTGAAATAGACCAACAGGCAGGCAGAAAGGGAAAGACAGAAATAGACCAGCGGGTAGACTGATAGAGACAGACTGACAGATATAGAGAGAAAGACAGAAAAGACAGAGAGAGGGACACAGGTATATGGAGAAACATGGACAGAGAGACACAGGGAGACAGAAAGAGAAAGAGATTGATTGAAAGTGACAGATACAGAGAAGACATGACAACAGAAACAAAGGGAGGGAAAGATGGAGAGGCAGGTGTACAAAGACAGAGACATAAATACAGACAACAGACTGACCAACAGAGAGGGACAGGGTGACACTTTGACAGAGATAGATAAACAGACACAGACGGAAAGACCAACAAACAGAGAAAGATGAACAGGGAGATAACAGGAAAGAGATAGGGAGACAGAGATAGACTGTGAGACAAATAGAGAAACAAGGAGACAGATGAACAGAGTGATAGAGACAGTAAGTAACACACAGAGTGACAGAGAGAAACATAAACAGTGACAGAGTGACATAAACAGAAAAGACACAGAGACAGACAAGCAGAGAGAGCCAGATGGAAAGAGATTCAGAAAGAAACAGAAGGACTAGAGAGTGACCATGAGAAACAGAGCGAGCAGAGACAATGTGACAGAGACATGGTGTGAGTGACAGACATAGGGAGAACACCAGACAGTGGCAGAGACAGAGAATCGGAGTGACAGAAACAGACAAAAAGAGCAACAGAAAAGAGA